CCAACCTTTGTACAGACGCGTTTGCTTGCTCTTAAGTATGCTGTACTAGGTTCGCACTAAGACTTCTGCTTCTAATCGACTCTTGTTGTGTTCTCCCTTCGGGGCTCACACGAGGCGTTAGTCAGACGGGAACGTCATAGCTTTTGGCCACCGTTATAACACATGCAGGGCTACGACACTCAGCAGCGGACGCCTTCGTAAGCTCTTTCGCTCAGTAAAGTTTGCCCAACCCAAGCAGTCTTCCCTGACCTTTAATTTAGGAAACCTTCGTTTGGTTGACTTAGGAACTCCGAACTTTTCACGTCCAATGTGATAAAGTTTTCCACCTTGCTTAAATAACAATTCTTCCGCAGCTAACTTAAATATTTTACATATTATTCTTCGAATCGAAACGGCACAAAATCCAAATACACATAGCCTGGCTTGAATTAATCGCGATACACGTGACAAAAGTGTTCAAGAAAACCAATGAGACGTAGAGGGTTTTTTGAAAACAAACAAATATGTACATATATACAGATCTTTCCACTCGTTTCACGTGAGGCAGCTTGAATGTCAAACTGTTTTCTGGTAGTGGGCATGTGACCCTAGTCATCGACGTCTGTCACGTTCGGGAGGCTGCAGCAACATAGCAGATTGATCAATAATCGGCGCAATCTCCATCTTCGCTTCCCCCGCGATCCAGGTTCCCACTGGGACGGAGTGCAACGCAAGCTTCTGTTTGTGCCTGCTGGTTGGTCCCCGAAGGCCACACCGAAAGCTACAACCGGGAGCACGTACAGCGTGTTAACATGGAATTATGTAATTAGCACATACTTTACCTCCCATTCAAAACCATGATGAAATGAATGACAATCTTGTTAGTAGGGTTGCATGATTCATCACCATACTGGCACTCCAGGTGCTAGATAAAAGTCCAGCCGTGCAATTCGTCCGCATCCTATCAGTATCTACGAGGTGTTCGGATCATCTGTGAGTCTATAAGCACAATTCCTGTGCTTTCTTGTACATACTCATATTTTGTATCAATATTAGTATTAGTTTGAGGGAAAGATAGGCGAACGCCTTTGAACTCCCTATTGGTAAAAAGATGATAGGAAATATGTGGATCCAAAGAAAAATAGAAAAAATACGTCAATTACATGCTTGCGCGTGAAAACACGGAAGCTGTTGGTTTTAATTTCTTCCAAGATTAATATCGAGCCTTGTTTAACTCAGCTCCTTCATTGCGAACTTAATG